ATAACACACCTACTCTGCCTTTGAGTCTGGGTGGGGAGGCAGACTTATAAACATAACAAAGTTCAAAAATTTTTATTGTTATTCTTTTCATCTTTTCTCCTGGTTATAAAAATAATGCATACACAATTATAAAACATTACAAAAGTATAAAAAAATAAGTCCCTCAGACAACACTGTTACTAATACTTTGGTATATAAGTATCCAAGTTGTATTTAATACTTATAAAACGGGGTTTCAAAAATTCTGTGTTGCTTAATTCATTTTGGACATCTGTCCACACACAGACGTAGCAAATGTGTGGGTGTGAGAGAATGGACTCAATTCCCTGGTAAAGGAGGTTTCAGTTGTGTCCAATTTTTCTCTATTACCAACAGTGCTGTACGAAAATCCTTGTCTATGTATCTATGTGCATTTGCATGAGTGTCTCTGAAGGATAAAATCCCAAGAGGCAGAATTCCCGAGGTGAAAGATATGACATGTTAACAGCTCTCCAAAACTTTGGGTCAATTTATACTCTAACTAAAAGTGTCCAAGAACGCCTTGAACAAATAAACTGTAATACCACTTAGACTCATAATCGAGGCATACAGAAGAGGGTAGACTTTCTCAACCGGATAACCAGGGAAAGCAGCCAAGAAGAGGCAACTCTGTAATGTGGGTCTCAAAAAATGAGTAGAAGGGTGACAGGGTAGCTCAGTTGGTTAGAGCACAGTGCTGATAACACCAAGGTTGCTAGTTCGATCCCCGCATGGGCCACTGTGAGCTGTACCCTCCCTAAGAGTCAACTATGTCATTGTAGCATGAAAGCAATGTGTAACCAATGACCATGGCTGTTCCCTAATAAAAAATTTAAAAAAAAAAAAAGAAAAAAAAAGAGTAGAGTTTGCTAGGAAGAGAAAATAGCAGGTACTGAAGCCTCGTTGTGAAAAACGTGGCAGTATTTGAAGAAAAGGGGTGGATGAGGCTGGAGAGGGGATCACAGCCAGATGATGAAAGGTCTGGAATGCCCAGGCATGACATTCACAGAGACGTCACATAGACTTCCACAAGAGTGCTTGGCACACTGCAGCCTCCGAGTGCTAAGCCTGAATCTCAGCCTCCGTTTCCTGCCCAACGCATCACAAGAGATCTGCAAGCATTGACTCAATCATTGAATGGGCAGGACCCATCCCGCCAAAAGGAACCCTTGCCTCCTCTCTACTCCCTCTCAATCAGGGCTGAGAGTTTGCTTTCCTCACTAGGCTGTGTGCGGGGGGCAAAAGTTTAGTCTACTACATCCTTGTAAAGGAGTTGTATCTCCTGAGCTTAATGTGGTGCCCAGCATTGCCGGAGCTGGGTTGACTCAATGTGACATCATGAAGGAAAGGCCCAACCACCTTTGGGATTGGACCCACGATGCTGGTATTAAAGGCACAATGGGTGGGGCGCCTGCCTCTGAAACCGTCATATGACGGACAGCAGCAGGAATTCAGATGTTAGGAGTTCACCATGAGTCACAGTTTACATGTTGGCAGGACGATGATGGACTCTGTCTCCAAGCAGCATTACAGAGAAGTGAGAAGAGAGCCATGCTTAGCGGCCCAAGCAGGCTGGGATGTGTCACCAGGGACACTTGGACTCTGGGCAAACTCCTGGAATAAGCCAAAACTCCACAAGAGGCTGGCTCCTGCCTGGAGTGGTAGGGAGTCCCAGCAGCTCATATCACATATGAAGTACTCACAGTGAGCCAGGTACTTGCTCAACACTTTATACGCTCGTATATAAGTATGTGTGAACTCATGTCATCCTCACAGCAATCCCATTATGGGCCCCATTGTACAGATGAGGAACTGAGACACAGACAGGTAAGAGGAGGAGGCAGAATCTGAGCCCCGGGAGCCTTATCTACTGCTGTGGTCCTCGGGATTTGCAGGGCTCTCCTGATCTCTCTCTGCAGGTGTGCTCTACGGAGATGAAAATGACAGCGCCCAGCAAGGGGTGGGCTCTCAAGAAATGTTCATGGCTGGATGAATGAATGGAAGTACCCGGAAGGGCTCCAAGCCAGTGTCAATGGAGCAAATACTGATTTGGGGCAAGCCACCAAGGCTCCCTCCTCTGGCCCCATTATTCACTTGTTTACAAACAGGTGTGTCAGATGCAAACATGGAGGTAGCTGTTTGAGTAACTGAAATGTAGTTTGGGGTAGAAAGGAACCCTTTAGGAAAGTCTGGATCAAGAGTCAATCTGGAAGTATTACACCAGCAAGCCCATTTGAATCTGAAAACCATTTGGGTGTTTCTCTGTTTTGCTTTTAATTTTCACATTGCACACAGACACACTCTCATTACCCTGCAATCACACACAATCTATCTCCAGCTTGTCCTGAGGGAGTTAATGAGATAGTCACTCACCTGGAAGCTCCCGTGGGACAGGAAGGAGGGAGGGGTGATTGTCCAGCACAGAAAGGAGCCACCTACCTTGGCTTCAAAGAAGTCCTTGGCACCTTTGACGCCCTCCAGGGCAACGTCGATCTCGGACAGCTGTGCCAAAGCCATCAGCCCACTCTCGTCCTGCAATTCCCCTGCCGCGGCCTTGCGGAATATGAGCAGGAACTGTGAGGAAAGGTTGATTCGCGTCAGAGCCAACCTCACGAGAGACTTCCCACAATCCCCCTCGGCCCACGCCAGCGTCATTATTACCAAGCCTGTAAAAAAGGGTGGGCATAATGATGCGTGTGACCGTTGTGCTTTCCCTGATCACATTGTCAAAAATGAAAACCTGCCCATCTTTCATGAGGATGTAGGGAAATGGGCACCTAGTTGATGAGAGCGTGAATGGATTCAAACATTTTGGAGGGCACTTTGGAAATATTTACCAATAATAACATGCTTCCACCCTTCTGATTATCAATTCCACTGCTGGGACTCTGTTCCTTAAAAAACTTTACACAATAGTTTCAGAAGCATTATCTATACAAGGCAAAAAAAAAAAAAGTAACAGCCTTGTTTACAGCCATGAAAGAAAAAGACCAACAGACCTTTATGTATTATTTTCTTAAACTAAATAATTCAGTATTTCTGATGTTTTTAATCATTCCTATTTTCCATTTCTGTCCCATTTTGCATCAAATTACTTACCATTCTTAGTGTTTTCTAAGAAATCTTTATAGATATATTTCAAATACTTTGGCTCTGTCACTTGCCTTTTGTTTATGGTGCTTTTTGACTTTCAAAAATTTTATATGAACTCCGTCAATCTTTTTCTTTTTTCTCACCAGTGTTGTGCTTAGAAAAACCTCCTTGCCACCAAGGTTATAGAAACAATCACCTATGTTTGTTTTGGGGTTTTTTGTCTACTGCTTTTATGACTTTTTTTTTAACATGTCAATATTTAATCTCTGAAATTTATTCTGCTCTATCATGTGATGTTGATCATTAACCTCATTTTCCTCCAAATGGTTAGTTAGTAAACCCTACGTCATTTATTGAATAATCCATCTTCTTCCTCCAGATTTAAAATGTGACCTGAATGAGTTAATCTTTAAAGCTAATGTGCACTAAAGCCTCCACAGAATACATTTTAAGGTAAATAAATAGGCCAAGCTGAAAAAGCAGGTCCCCCCCCCCTTCTGTTCTTCTCCCCCAAGTCAAGTTTATGGCTTTTTTACTTCTAAAAAATGTTTGTGGATTTATCTGTCAAACAACTACTCTCCAACTTTTATAATTTATTTTTCCATTTGGAAAGAGTACAAATTAGGCATCCAAAGTCACCACATAAAGAGGCTTCTCCAGGTTTGCAGGTGCTACCTAAAATACGGGTGCCTATAGGGAAACCTCAGGTTTCCAGGGGTTTTTTTTCATGACCCTCTCCTCTGAAGAATGGCTTCCCCAAGAGAAAAGAACATTAGGGAAAGTAGAGCAAGAGGTGAAACACCTTCAATAGGTTTTCCAAATTCCACCTTGGGTCCCTTTTATTGCCAAGACTCTTAATTCCTAGAGGGAAGTGTGTTCTATTAAGTGAAAAGTCTCAGCTTCCATCACCACCATCCAAAATACCTTGCTAATAAGGCTTTCTTTGTAATTCTTGCTTCAGGGGTCCTGGCTCCACGGTGGGCCTTGCCGAATGCAAAGCAAGGGTTGAAGCCAGATGCTCAAGGATGGGGAGCTTTGCGGAGGCCCCGCTTGGCTTGGGAGCGATGGCACATTCATCCACCTGCAGCTTCAAACTCTCTCACTAGAGGCCGGCAAAGACTCAATATGCTGCCGACTATCAGAATCTGCACATAGACTCCAAAGAAGTCTTGGGAATCAGCCTGTTGAAGGAGGTGAGGCCCCCAAGAGTAGAATGGAGGGCAAGGGGGACATGGGGGTGACTGTGGTCAGGCTCTCATGGAAGAGACTGGAGCAGCAAAGACTTCATGCTGCAAACATGAACCACGGGAAGGAGTGAAGTACCCGTCCCACAGTGCCCTGGGCATCCTTAAAGCATTTAGTTACAGACGCGTCCCCACATATACACATTACTCAGTAAGGCAAGCACAAAACAGGTAGCCCCTCCACACCAGCTGTTCTCCTGGGCCCAGGCAGGCAGGCCAGGAAAGGAGGAGTGCTGCCCCCAGCCTAGCAACAATCCAAATAATCTGGCCGGGGCGGGTGGGGGGGAGGTCTCTCACATCTATAGGGGAGAGGACAATGTTCCTCTGTGTTTACAGAATGGCTGGAAGTATTCCTCACGGGTCTTTTCCCTAGAATGGATACAGGCTGGGTATACTCACTCTCATTCTGCCAACTCAGCACATGACCACCAGGAGCCCTGTCATAACTTAGGGGACCCCCACCCCAGCCAGTTAAAGAAGGGAAAAAAAATCCAGCTCAACCTGAAAATGTTCAGCCTTTCATAAAGCATGCCAGACATTCTCATTTAATTGTATTATAATCACCAGCCCTAGAATGACAATTTCTCCAACTGCCCAGCCTTGTTTATCTTCCTATTTATAGGCCACAAAGACTGGTATGTTTTGGAGAATTGGAAAGTGTCCTGGCTGTGACGATGAGCAGAGAGCGGGGGAGGGAAGGAGAAGCAGAAAACAAAGCAACAGAGAGTGAGCTCACAAAGCTCAAGTGATCTCAGATACAAGCGATGAAGTGCTTTGATAAATTTAAGAAATTTTAAATCTCAGGGCTCTAGCCGGAGATGCAACCACTTCCCCTGTATTAGTTAGAGCTCTTAGATTGCAAGTAACAGAAACAAAATTGGCGCAAGCAAAAAGAAGGTAGTCACATAAACGGATGTCTCAAAAACCCAGCAAAACACAGTGGCCAGGAAGAGGACCAAAACTGCGAGAGGCAATGCTCTCAGGAGTGGAGAAAACATTCCCTCTCTAGCTGTCATGTCTGGTCCAAATGGCAGAAAATGGCCACACTGAATTATTCTTCCAGGAATAGTCACTTGCTAAGCTAATTGACCTGGTTTGGCCAGGGCGCCATCCCTGGTCCAATCAACCGTGACCAAGCAGGGGACACCCCAGCACAATCAAGCTGCCAGGGACGCACCTTAGGGAGAGCTCAGTGGGATGAGAGAACGGGTCCCAGCTCCCAGTACTGACACATATCCACTAAGCCCCATTACCCAATCTTTGTACAAAACTACTGTATATCTAGCCTTGGAGCAATTCTGCTTTGAGACAGATGTAATGGAATTAGTGAGGAGTACAAGAAAAAGAGAGGAGGATATTAAGGCTTCCCTATCTGCCTCCAAAGGAGAATTAGGTGGGAGGACCTGGAACCTGGTTCTAGATCACTAGAGCTATGGAGCTGGAACTGCTAACTTTGGTCCATCCTTACGACTTTTTCTATGTGTCCACACATGCATAAACACACATATAAACCATAAATGCAATTATACTTTATATAGTTTGGTAATCTGCTTTTGTCCCTACTTTTTACATGGTCAACATTTGTTCTCTGGTCATGAAACACTATTTTCTTTAATGGTTCCATATAGGCCAATTTTCTAAAAAGCCCCTAATGTGTGTTCATTATTTTCATAATTGGAGAAGAAATGGTTTAAGAGAAAGATCAATTTCCTTGTACACTGGGGATAAGCAGCAAAAGAGTACTTAGTGGAGACATACCTTCTGAATCAAGGAGTTTTATTTGGGTGTGACTTACTTGGTAGTATGAATCCAAAGAGAAAGAAAAGGAACACAACATCCTCTAAGCACCTACTAAGTGCCAGGCTATGAAGAAAGAAGTATAGAAATGAGCAATTCTGTCTACCTGGCAAACCCCTGTCCCATGTGATGAATGTAGGGCTGTTCACTATCGAGTCCTGTGGCACATGACTTGGACTTAGCCAATCACAGTACCCTGAATTCAATGATTGGTCTAGGAGGTGGGTGTGTGTCCCTAGTAGAGCCAACCAGAGGCCTTCCAATACGACTGGTATGAACTCTGGGATAAAGAAGTTCTCTGTTCACTGGGGTTTCTGAGCTGCAACACTGTAATGTGGAACTGCTGTCAGCCATCTTGCCAGCCCTGGGGACAACACCCTAGTGGAAGAAGATGCGGTGGACACAGAAGAAAGCACAGTTAAGATATGGAAAGAGGAGGGCCGGCCGAGTGGTGCATTGGTTAGGAGTTGGCTTGGGACGCCAGCTCTAAGCAGCAGGGCTGCCGGTTCGGATCCCACATGAGGGCCAGTGATGCTGCGCCCCTTACAGCTAAGATGGTGAACAGCTAAGATGGTGAATAGCTCGACCTGGAGCTGGGCTACCGTAAGCTACTGTGAGTGGCCGGCAGCCAGTGTGAGCTGCCAAGAGCCACCATGAGCAGCTGTCCAGAGGCCGGTGACCAATCTGCCATACCTGGGAAGAGCACAATGATAATACCAACATGGGCCAGTAAAGTGATGTCCTCCACAACTAGACTTAAGAACAAAAGGACAACAACTTGTCTGTTCCCCTTCCCTGATTCCCCAATGCTGTTCCCCTTCCCCATTCTCCAATAAAATCTTTAACAAAAAAAATAATAATAAAAAAGATATAGAAAGGGGAAGGCCCTAGATTATTTGTGCCTAAAACACTTCTACTTCTTCATCTCCCAGGTATGTAAGCCAACAGTTGCTTGTTTGTTCGTTTTTTCTTCTTTACATTAGTTGGCATTCTCTTTCTGTCACTTACAACCAAGAGCCCTAACTGATAGAGGCACAGGAAAAGAACTTATGGAAAGCTACCAACACTCCTATATTAAGACAGAAAAACTGAGGCTCAGAAGTAAAATAATTTGCTGAAGTTACACAGTTCTTTGTGGAGACTGAGGTCTGACAATAAGCCTCTTTTCATTACATAAACACAGTGGCTTACAATACAGGTGGAGGAAACCAGCAGAGTGAAATACTACAAGCAGGAGGTTGGGCTGTAGAGCATTAATGGCAAACCTGTCTACACTTCCCAAACCTGCATTTCTGGGTACAACTGCTATAGATGGGTCCACATGGGGCTCTGAGCTGACAAAGGACTGAATGGGAATGTCACTGAAGCTCTGTAGGTGAGTTGAGACCCCCCAATGGAACAATTTTAGGTGTCCCAGCCTCTGTGGGAAAACCAAAAGCTAAGCAAGCATCTTAGACTCAGGCAGAAATGTGTTCGGGGGACCCCTGGGTAAAACATGGGAGAGGGATTGTGTCTTAGCTCAGCTGGTGGCTTGCACAGACCTCTCAACACCCTCTCAATTTCTTTTCCCCAGAGGTCACAACTTTGCCACAAAAGCTGTTTCCTCAGCATGGCCTCCAAAGCTTCACCAAGGCAAAAATGTTTACTTTCTATACCCCAGGGGCACCCGGGTTGGAAAGAGCCAGTGCCCAGCACAATGCATGCATGATATGAAGGAACCAAATGAAAGCTGAGGGAAGCAGAGGGGCAGCTGAGAAGGCAAGGTGGTGACACTGAGAGGCCGCCTGGCACAGAGGCTGCAACCCAGGCCCAGCCCTGAGCTGGGGCCTGATTTTAGAAAAATGCTGACCTTTCAGCCTTTTAGCTCCTAGGTCTGAAATGAGAGGCTTTACTCCATATTCCTGAGGGTTCCACCCAACACAGGTTTTCTGTGATCTTCCATCTCTACATCTGCCAGTCCAGAAAAGGAAGAGATGGGTGAATGTGGAGTTGATTTGTGGACAGTGAGAGACAAGATCAGTTTCATCACAGCAGGGAGGGGACTCATGGCTATCAGTCAGACGAAGAGACACTAGGAAGAGCATCCGAGGCCCTATCTAGCTAGGACAGAAGACCAGTACTTGGCCGAAGTCTCACCAGCAGAAACCCGGACACCAGTGCTCCACTGTTTCTGGAATAACCAAGGTTAAACACCAAGGAGCAAGGACAGTCCTCTCTGCTCCCGGCTCCTGAGGGACCAACTGAGACACAATTGAGAACAGACTACAGCAGCTGGGCTACTACCCCAAGCCTTTAGTCCAGATGTTGTCACCAAAGTTATTCTAATACCAGGCCACACTGACATATCTAGAGGCCTTTCAATAAAACTCAAACACATAAGACACGGAATTCCCTTCCTTCTGGGAATGCATCCTTACCATGGAGGAAACCCAATGGCCTTGAGACTTTTTCCTCAAAATAGAAATGGCACCAAAATAAAACCTCATCACCAAGGTTCTCACCCCGTGGGGATCAGCCTTTGAATCTATGTGCACTCTTCCAGGAAGATATCTGTACATACAAAATTTTGCCTGCAATTTTGGGGTCCAAAGGCCAAAAAGTCCATTCTCGGACTGTTTGGGAGTGGTGGTGTCCCTGAGCATAGAGTAAGACCCTTTGTTTAATTGTTGTTGTTTTTTTTTACTATTTTTAAATGCATACTATAAATATTAAAAGTTTTAATATATTAAAAAGTATAAAATTATAAAACTGCCAAATCTTTCCACCCACAAACACCCACTGTGAATATTTTGATGGACATCCTTCCAGATTTCTCGATACTTCTACCATTTTACCCAAATGAGGTTATCCTACCCACACTGACTTTCAGTCTGCTTTCTGTGCATTTCCCAATGCCAGCACCGAGGTTCGCTAGCTCCTTAAATTATGTTTAAAAGCAGACCTGCAGGTTAAATATCCAAACAGCTCTCCAGAGAGGCCAGAGCCATTTGTACTCCAGGGGACTGGAAATCGGAGGGTCCTCTCGGGAGCACTCTCCCTCCAGGGGCTCAAGGCCGGCAGGATGCAGGTACCTCACGGAAGCTGAGCTTGCCATCAAAGTCCTCGTCCACCTCTTTGATCATGCTCTTCAGGCCCAGGTGGGTCTGCGGCGCCCCCAGCTTCTCCATCATCAGCTTCAGCTCCATCAGGTCGATGAAGCCGTCCCGTCCGGCGTCGTACCTGCGGGGTCAAAGGCAGGGCACTGAGGAGGGACGGCCATGGCCAGGACGAAAGGACACTTGTTACTCTCCCAAATGTGTGATTCTTTCGACCTCATTTATTGAAAAACCACTGACATACCTCCTGCTTTGCTGTACCCACCTGAGTCACCGCATCGGAAAGGACCCTTCTCTCCTCAAATCACCTTTGGACCCTGCATGGTAGGGTTCCAAGTGGGTCTTGTACATGTCTTATCTCCTTAACTAGGCCATAGTTTCTCAAGGAAGAAAACCATGCCTGTTTACCTGTATTTCCCCCGGTTTCGGTCAATAAACATCGACTGAACCTCCTGATGCTGGACAACAGAGATGCTGTAGGAACGCGCCCCACGCACCCACTCCATTCACATGGAGTGATGGTGATTCCGGGAGCCTCCCTTTGGGTCTCTGCACCCCCATTTCCACCAACCCCGCCTCTCATCCTTCTGGTCTTGTGTCCCTGCTTCCCACCCTTGCACCAGGCTGTGAATCAGCCTGGGCCCGCACTTTCGTTTTATGCTTTATCCTCTGGCTCACTCATCTAGTCTCCAGGTCCGAATGGTCACATCTGTGTGAGTGACAATTGAGAAGGGTCTCAGCTCTGCCCTCCTGGCTGAGATTCAACCACAGAGCCAGCACCTCTGCTGGCTGTCCCTCCAGCCCCCAGCCCCCTGCCTGGAAACAAAGCCAGCCTCACCACAGTGGGGGATCCTGGCCTGCCCCCTACTCTAGAGTGCCTGGGTCAGCCCAGTAGGAATTTCTTCAGTTTTTGTCCCGTTTTCTCCTGACCACTCCACCCCACCTACACCCCACCGACACACTTGGGCTGTTACAGGGTTTTCTCACTGACTCCCTGGTCTCCTTCTTTCAAATCCATCTTATTTTCTACTACCCAGAGATCCCTTGTTGCTCAGGTATGAAAACCAAATCCGTTCATCATAACCAAAAGGTAGAAACCACCCAAGTGTCCACTGATGATGAATGGATAAACAAAATGTGGTCTTACCAATACAATGGGATATGGCATGTTTATACAATAGAATAATATTTGCAGTAAAAAGAAGTGAAATTCTGATACATGCTACAACATGGATGACCTTGACAACAGTACTCTAGGGTTGAAATAAGCCAGACACAAAGGGACAAATACTGCATAATTCCACTTACATTAGGTATCTAGAATTCATCAAGCCAGAAAATAGAACAGTGGTTACCGGGAACTGGGGAACGGGGGTGGGGGTGGGGGGGGTG